AGACAGACTGCTCTCAAGCTGAGTGCTTAAACTCCCTGAGTTTCTTTCAAAAGCTAACATCCTCAGAAGACCCAAAAAAAGCCTAAAATTAAAAATGTAGTTTTCAAAAGCGTCCAAAATACCTGTGTGTACAAGAAATTTAGATAATTAACATTTCAAATATTATTTGTGTAAGCTTGCCGCATTTATACATTCAAGTTATTAAAGCTAAAAACTTCCTTTATTTATTTATTTACTTATTTATTTATTTAGAGACAGGGTCCCACTCTGTCACTCAGGCTAAAGTGCAGTGGCCTGATCATACCTCACTGTAACCTCAAACACCTAGACTCAGGCAATCCTCACCTCAGCCTCCCAAGTAGCTAGAACTACAGGCACGCACCACCACACACAACTAATTTTTTTATATTTTGTAGAGACAGCGTCTCGCTATATTGCCAGGCCTGTCTCAAAGTCCTGGCCTTAAGTGATCCTCCCGCCTCAGCCTTCCAAACTGCTGGGATTACAGGCATGAGCCACCGTGCCCAGCCTAAAAACTGCATTTAAAACAGACTTTCGAATTAGCCTGTAAAAAGCAAAATATAAGTTGATGGACTCTGAGAGAAGTAGAGAAAGATGGAGTGAGACAGAAAAGGAAAACAACTCCACTTTTCAAAGAAGGCTGAAGCCCAGAGACAAGTGAAATGAATTGCCCAGCATCACCCACCCAGTAAATGCAGGACCACATACAGACCCAGGTCTAAGTGACCGCTGAGCTTGCATTCAATGCACTTCCAAGTAGGAGGAGGTCAAAAAGAATGTAATGGGAAAAAGGAGACTTTAAAATACATCTTGAAAGACAGATGAAGTCTGGGTCACACAAAGACTGGAACAAGAGCATTCTAAGCAGAATGTGGCTATCAATACCTTCTTCATTTCAGCCTCAGATTCAACACCTGATCAAAAAAGAGTTTATTTAATATAATTGTGTATCTTCTAGAAAACGCAGAGGGCTATAACATATAATGATGTCAAAATAATACCCCAAACTTCAGAGAGTTTTCAATCTTGAAAACTGTTTATACCTATAAAAAAAGGGTACAGAGTTAGAAGTATATGCTTAATGTAAGAAAACAAGAGATTCTTAAAAAAAAAAAAAAAAAAAAAAACCTCCTTAAGCAAACACATGTTCTGCTATCATGAACTATCTATTCTGCTCCAAAATTCATGGCAATTCTGGGGCCCTTGAGTTCCAGAACATCCACAGTCCTGCCTGAACTGTATTTAGAATTTACATCATTTTCAGCATTGCAGAAACATGTTTGTTCCAGCCGAGAACCAACCTAATCCACCAAAAACACTCACCTTACCATCACAGAATCACACAGGGTTACAGCAGAAAGGTATATTAGAGGGCAGCTGATGGGATCCCATCCTGAAGTAGCTGGGGTTCAGAAATAGCTTTTTTGCATTTAATCCACACAATATTGCAAAATTATTAATTTACTTAGAAGAATTATTTCCAGAATTAAATGTAACCAT